GTAGGGTGCGCTTTGAGAGATGTTCTATTATTGGGTAATAAAATTATTTTAAAGAAATCTAAATAAATGGAAACGAGATCGCTAATTACCCTCCTCACTTATCGCTAACTACACTTTTAGGCTACATCACAGTCGGATAAAGCGTCCAAGCAAGGTTTTTCGTTAAAAATCAAAATGTACAATGAATTGCCTTTAGAAATAATAAATCTTCCACTACACGCGTTTCGACAAGTGACAAAAATGTATTTTTTGAATCACGCTTTCTATAATATAGAAAAATATATGAAATGTTCATTTTCTGACATGCTTGACATGTAAATGTAGATGTATTTTAATTTGTAATTTTAATAATCTAATGTAATATAATACTTTGACTAAAGAAGAAAGAAAGGACATGACATACCTACGAAAAAAACGTGTATACCTAAACTGAGTCTGGCACAAAGATGGCGGCTTGACGTAGTGCTGCGACTATACTTAATATCGATAATGTGGCGCTTATTTAGAAAAAGATTCTTTTGTGTGATTCGTCGCAAACACCCGTGTGTTCTTAGATAGGATTTTTTTTAAATCAATATGATGGATTTTTGTCGCCAAATTGTAAGTCCTTAATTTTTTTTTTACTCAAGCTATCGATAGGGGTATCCAAATATAGGAAATATACCTATAAGTTATACCTATGTTTTCAGTTCATTACTTTTAAGCAGTCGTTTTTTGTTTTTATAATGTAACTATCTATTATTAATGTTACAATTATTTCCCGGGAATTATTAAGCAAAAAAAATACTAATTAAAGAATTTTTGCTTGTTTGTTAGACAATAAATTAGACTCAGTAATCATACTCACACTAATCAAACTATAATAAATGCAAAAGTTTGAATGTTTGTTTGTTCCTCAATCACGCCAAAAGGATCAGACCATTTTGAATGTCATAATTTGGCACACAAATAGTTTATTACCTGAATTAACATATAGGATACTTTTTATCCCGATTTAGAGGTCTTGAGGAATAGAATAAGAAATTTCGTAACAATCGAATTCCACGAGAGAAACATAAAAATAACACACTCCCTCACTAAAGTTGCAATGACAACTGATATAGTTGTCATTGACTGTGACAAAACATGGCGCCCGGCCTCAGTGAAAAAATTATTGCCATATTCGGTAATGATAAAACTACTTTTGTCCTTTTTTACATACGAATATACTCATAAGCTAAAAATAGACGCCGATATTTCGTTACATTCCTACAACTAACGATCTTTATGTCATGTCCTTTCTTTTTTCTCTAGTCAAAGATATAATATCATTTGAATTGATTGTAATTTTGACATACCAATGTTATATTTTAACGAAATGATCAATATATAAAAAAAAGTAAAAGGTATTTGTTGATTCAGCCTTAAAATATTGTTGACGTTATTATAAAAAATCGTGGCTATTTAGATATTATTTTTAAACGTGATTATGTTTACAACATAAAAACAAAACAATCTAACGACAGTTTATTTTGGGACATGAAAAAAAATTAAGTCCAGCTCCTATAGAAATTTGGCCATCCTCCTTTGCTGTCTTTGATATTTACAGTACTTTCTGCAATAGCCTGTTCATTCACTCATGTGAGTTATGAAACCAGGACTGTCACAAACATCTTAATGTGTCTAAAAACATGATAGATATCTTAATATATAAACTATTTTACAAGTCTCATTCACAGAAAAAGTAAAAAAGCAACTTATATACGTCTTACAACTGTGCACAGGGCTCTTAATTACTTATAGTGCGAAATAACGGGTTTCACATATCCACGATTGTTTTTAAAATCTACTCCGACATCCAAGTTTCCGCGTGAAGTTATTCTTCACCACTTCACGGAGCAGGTGAAAAATAAGCAAACGAAACTTCCTCACCAGCTTCAACGGCCCTCGCGGTAATCGTACACTTTTGTACATATGCCATGAATGGACTCTCGCATTTGTTTTAAAAAAAACTGAAAAGAAATTTTTGCACGATTGTGGACCACATCTAGCCAGTAATTAGTCATTCTGTGGTAACACGAACTTCATACAAAAACAAATTGGTGAAATATTGCTATACCAATAGACACCCAACATATTCAGCTAGAGATCTTCTCCCTTAATCAGTTTTGTGTACACAGTTTTTTTGATCTTTTTGCTAAAAATGATAATTACCATAAATCATCCGATTATGGCCACCGGTCTAGATATTTTAAGTCTGACAATTTTTTAAGTTGCAAGAATAATTCAATAGAATTTTTAATTTAATCAGTTATTATTAGTTTATTAGCAGTAAGTAGATGGCACCATTATTAGATTAAAGCCATAGAACACTATAATATGTATTATAGTATTCTATGATCAAAACTATGAAAACCAACATTTAACCTCTAGTAGTCAGCGGCAATAAGTTGAGGTGCGACTGGGGTGGATTAATCGCACAATAAAGCTGCAAGCATTTATATAATACATAAATTAGGCATAAATGTATATTGATGTAAATTCTATTAAAACTTCTGCTTCTATCAAAAATACGCCATTAGCGCTCCTAGCTGTTTGTAATAAAAATATTTTAAGATACATAAAGTAAAAAAAGTAAAGTTACAGCCTATATACGTTCCACTGCTGGGCACAGGCCTCCTCTCATTTCTGAGAGGGTATTAGGACAAGGAAGTGTCCACCGCGCTGCCCCAATGCGTGTTGGCGGACTTTACAAGTCTCCGAAATTCTTTTTCTTATTTCTCAGACATGCAGGTTTCCTCACGATGTTTTCCTTCACCGCCGAGCACGTGGTAAATTAGTACTTAAAATTGCAATTAACAATTTCATTGGTGCCAGCGGGGATCGAACCCGGTTTGCTCGCGTACTGTGAAATTTACAGCGAGCGCTAACCATCTGAGCTACCACGGCTTATATATAATATTATATAATATAATAGATATATAATAATTTCAAAAAATACGTGGTGTTTAGTTGTTATATCGCCAAACGATCTCTATTGCTTTGGTCAAACCTATTAAGTATATTATGATTTAGTCAACAACCGTGTATTGATATTATTAATTCTCAGATCTTGCCAATACATAATATATAAAATATCTTTATTTAAATAAGAATAATGAAGGTATTGCAATAATTTCAGTTTTTATCATTTTGTTAATAGATTTTAAAAAATGCACTATAACTTTTTAAAGATTAGAAAATATAGTTAGAAACATCTCAAACTTCATGTTTTGCGATATATGTCACTATTATCTATTTAAGTAGTAATTAGTTAGGTACCATAAAATTTATTTATTCATACTAAATTATTTTTTTTAAATCAATCATGAGTTTAATTATTGATACATATAAATGTAACTTATTTATATTATTTATTCTTTTAGTTACTGGAGGCAAAATGCTATTACTTTTTGTATTTTACATTAGATGGCACTGTTTTGGAGAAGTGAAACGTAGATGTCGGTGTAGTTCAAATTATTACGCAATGGTACACACCAATTTAAGACTTTATACATATATAAATATTTTATTTATTGAAGAAAAAAAACACATCAATCATATAAAATTGAAATTAACATCTTGAGCAAGAAAAATATTTACCCTTTTTTTTGAAGTTCTGTAATCTGATAAAAAGTTATGTTGGCCAAGGTCCGTAACTACTTCTCCACTAACTTTCATGAAAATCTGTCTAGTAGTTTTTGCGTGAATCGCGGATACACAGACACAAATTCTAAAAACTAATACTTAATTTGGTTTCAGTAACTTTTATTAGTCCCGTGGACTTGTTTTTTTCTTAGAAAATATTAGAACTTTTGATATATATATATATATATATATATATATTTACGATTACAAAACAAAAAATAATATTAAACAATTTCCACATAATAGCTTCTGTAGTCGATTTAATTTCAATATTTAGTGGCTTATTACAACTTCAAAGTATAGCATGTCGTCTAAATAAATACATTAAAGAACATCAGCCGCTATAAACGAATTTTCTTAAAATTTGTATGGACCACACGTGAAGTAGACGTCTATAACCTATTTATTGAAAGATTGATGAAATTCAGAACTGTAAAAAATTTAAAAATTTAAGAAATTTAATATCAATTAAATCGGTTCAGCCGTTTTAGAGAAATACAGTGATAACTCATAATAAAACATACGCTTCGACTGTACTCGTTTCTCGTTTTTGGAACTCGGTTAAAAATTTATAAAAAATCACCGCAATAAATACAAAGGTAATTAATTAATTCTATAAACACATATAAAACATTAATTTTTTAAGAAGCTTTCATTATTGGTGTCACATAATATACAGGTCTTGTATATTTCATCGCATAGAGTTTAGGTAAGCTCAAGGGCTAAATAATTATCATAACATGCGAGCGAGCCGGAGTTCGACTCTTGTCAGCACCACCCAAACTGTAACGACATTTTTAGATGCTGATTTACCACGTGCTTGGTGGTGAAGGAAAATATCGTGAGATAACCTGTTTGCCTAAGAACTTTGCACATATACACTATAATTTGGATATTTAACAAAAGTATAGCGACATTAAATAAATGCCAATATTCTGTAGAATTTTATTTAATTTATAATATAAATTAAATAAAATTCTGTAGAATATTGGCATTTATTAATAAAAGCTTTCAACATATTATGTTGAAAGCTTTTATTATTTTATAATAACATGGATTAACATTAAAAGCACAATCAGGCTAAACAAAAATACAATAATATATTATGAACTGTGAAATTAAATTAAAGTTCGTAAAAGAGAGAGAGGGAGAGAGATTTAATCAATCACAATGAATCGAAATATTTCATGCTTTCGTTTCCCAAGTACACATTATTTATCAATGAGATTTTTTTAGATCTTGTTTATACACAACTTGTGCTTCAACTACTAGTCAGTATATTAAATAATGTTATATAATTATCAAATATTAAATGAAAAGAAATGGATACTCACAACCACTACCACCGAAGATCACTATAGTAAATACTCCGGCGCTTAGTAATAGAAAAAACGCCGTAATGCGCCTCCGAGGAGCCCAAGCACAGCCGCTGAAAGCTCGGGCCATACCAACCCCACTATGGGTCATTGTAAATCTGGAACAAACACACGAAATTTATTGAAATTTTAAATTTGAGGACTGCAAAATACATTCAACAAATCCTTTGAGAAATATTTTAAAGGTATTTAAAAATGCCGTATAGTAGCTGCCTAAGAGAATTTCGCCTCGTAGGTATCGTAAGGCGTCTATGTGAAAAGTGGAAAATTCTAAAAGTTTTCAAGATATGGCGGTGTAACCATCTCGTTTAAGCCAAACGTAAAATACCTAGGTCGGCAACGGACAGCAGTCAAAGGTGTGAGAAGTCGCTAAAGGAGTTAAATAATTAAGCAAAATCTTCCCAACAACGAGTCCCACGACTTTTAGGGGCGATGATGAAGAAACAGATACGTATTTAAAAGTTCGTTTTAACGTCGACTTATAAATAGAGCATCAATTTAGTTATTCCTACTATACAACTAATTTCATTAAAACAATTGAAGCACCGCAATGGCTGCCGCGTAACTTTGTTTAGCGCGGTTTGAACGTAGTGGCAGGCGGTAGACTTACTATGGTGTGCATGTGTGCGTGCCGGTTTCTTTGTATTAGTGAGCTGACTTACACTGAGTGAAGGGTAAATATAAGCAAACACAAAAGGCCTTTGTTTAGTGACAACTAGCACTATAAGATCTGATTTAGAAATGATTAGGCGTTCATCAACTCAGGTGGCACATAGAGCTTTAGCTTACATCTGTCAAATAGGGAATTTCTTATGAAATGCTTAAAGGTTGAATTCGACAAATAGCGTCTGAATCATCCCCTAGTTGAGCCTCTATCTTGACTATAAATTCCAATGTAAAAGCGTTCACTGCGGTCGACCACTACAGGGCTAATTATCTTGGCGTGACGGTGTCGCTTCTTGAAATCATTAGCAATATTAACAAGTTGATAGGGTTTCTCGAAGTGCTAGGGAGTTTGAACAGCATTAATGCTAACACGCAAAATACGCGATTAGCCGTGGAGTCGCAGAAAACATGCCGTGAAACGCTAAAGCCGCCTCTACATGATCGGCCATGATCGACACTCGTTGATCGTCTGTAATCGGCAAGGTAATCGCCACCATCATCATGCAAGCATCCACACGATCGTCGGTGATCATTTATTAAGCGGCAAGCATTCAATATGGACGTGGAGTTTATAGCTGCAGCTACCATTAATTTAATTTCCGTATACAATCATTATATCAATGTAGTTGAACGAAAAGTTGCGAAAAGAAAATGTAAGAAAAGAAGATGGTGGTGTTTGAGCATTCATTGTAATAGAACAAAGTAAATATACAACAGTTCTCACTATAAATATCTATTTCAGACAATCAATGGATATTCAGCTCTCTGAGCTAGTGGCGCAACCTTCAGGGGAATTTGAAAACTTTCTTCGCATGTCGCTAACGATTTCAATTATTTAGTTGAAAAAATACCCCGATTAGTTGCAAAACAAGACATTACTTGGAGGGATTCTATACCAGTTAAAATCCGTCTTGCTATAACTTTCTTTTTTCGGTTCTGATATAGTTCTATGAACTTGAATGTCTCTTCATTTGAACACCCAGTAGTCATTGTTTCGCACTCGCACTCACTTTTATTTAAAAACTTAAAAACGACGCGATGTACGCACTGCTTCTGTCCTCCGGTGAATGAATAATCGGCGATCGTGTGGGCACGCGCACGCAATTACAAGCGATTCCCTTTGATGTGTGCCCGAAAAACCGACAAGGCACCGATCGCCACGATCAAGACCACGATCAACGAAAATTGAGGACGATGATGGGCAACTACAGGCGATTAGCCCACGATCGTGCTCGCGTGTAATCGCCCATCATGGCCGATCGTGAAGAGGAGCCATAACACTGATACTGCGTTAGAGGCTCCCCTAACACATAATTACGTACCTACTCGTATGCGCTACAAACTTTGTACTCAATACAATATAGCGGTATGTGAGGACGCCTTTATTTATTTTTATATTTTTTATAGACTAATATTATTTTTATGCATTTTATAGTATAAAGATGACAAACGAGCACACAGTCCACCTATGGTAAGTGGATGATGTGGCCCATAAAAATCCATATTTATCCTAGATTAAAACTCAAAATGCAGATGCGTTGTCACCTCTGACGACTAAGATGAAATGCCTCCTTTCCAATAAAAAGGGTCTCCGGTTCTCTTAACTCACGAAATACAATAGTATTAAGCTGCTATTTTGGGCTGATAATTTATGGGAGCGTGGTCCAGCCCCAGTCGAGCCGACGCATTCGTGGTACAATTATAACAATAGCTGCAGCTTGGCTCTATCATGTAAAATTTATAGTTATAATATGTGCTATGTTTTGACACTACCAAGAGTAAAGAAAAATTGTCGTTCTAAAATATTAAATTATTATCAAGATAATTTAATTCCTCTGTACAACAATATTTAAAAAAAAAACTGGCAAAATGTTTGGATGGAAATGACATGTCATAAGATTCTCAATCCGTTCAATAAATGTTCTTAAAAAAATTCATTGTGAATTTATAAAACGTAAGAACCTTCGTATTTTTCTCATTTACTGCCAGCTTGTTAAATTTATTGTTATATCAAATTTTGTGTAAACTGCAATACGTTTTAGTTCATACATTAAACAGATAGAAGAAAATAAAACAGGATCTATTTGTACAAATTAAATTTCATGTTGTGAAAATAACGCAGTTAATTGTTCTCAGTTGAGTTAAAGGTAACAAATTAGTCAGAAGCTGGGTAGAAGTCGAATAAGCATAATGAAATAGAAACAAGGATCATCAACAGTTGTTAACTTCATGGATAACCAAATTACACAAACGAAATATATCACCTCCGAATCAAAGCTCAATTTCGATAAATTTGATAGAAAACCGTCACTATTACGTTATATATAGCCATTGTTAGAAACAAATTAACTGCCAATCAAAGTTGTATTGTTATCTAATAAATTCACATAAAAGTGTATTGGACACGCATTGTAGTAGATCGTTGACATGCTTTCAAAATAAACGTTTTAAACATAACATGTAAGAAATGTATGTACATAGTTAAACTGTAATCTTTGTGGTTTTTACATATATTACAACGTAACAACCTACGTAAGTTAATTGTATTAGCAAAAATAATAGTTAAGGGGATAAAGTATAAGCAGCAGAATTTATTACTTATAAGGTTCTTTGTAATTTTTGAATGTTTGTTCCCGGGCATATTGGGATAAGTTTTATAGCATTAATCTTTTTGTTTCTTCGACTCACTCAATCAATAGGCGTGTTTTATATTTTCAAAAATTCACTTACACTTACTACAAGGAAAAACCTTCTCAGTAAACGTAAGTGCGTGGTATGTACGTAAGTAATACAATTGCATATTTTACTAATAAGTATAGTATAGACATTTCTTTAAAACAAGAATTATTGTCCCGAAAAAAATTATGATTAATTCTTTAAATGAAAAATATTTAAATGTATTTACAATTTATACTACAGAGTGAGCCATAAATTTTGAAAAAAAAATAGATGAATGGGAAAACTATTTAAGCACGTAGCATTGTTTTCATGTGAAACGCTTTATTTAACTAACTAGTCGCACGATAAAATTTTCTAGAACCCGTTCTAAATCCCCACTGTAGGGGATTTAAAAGTGCAAACATTTATCACGCAATGCTCATTTATTCAAATTCACAAACTTGATGAAAGGAAAACCTGTTTTAACGTATTTAACAGCAAATTATATAATATTATAAAGTTTCGAATTATATCGCATAACACGTTATATTTGCATGTCATTCATAAAAGTTATGTGTGGCGGCGGTATTGTGAAACATGTATGGAACTTTATATATATATATATAAACCGTTTAAGGAGGTGGCTTTTTAGTATTAGCTAGTAAATTATTATCATGATGTAAAGAACATTAACAAAGATATCGCGAGCCTCTCTGTTGAGTGAACTGTAATGGCATGTGTTGATGTTGAGCATCTCACCGTTGTAAGCGTCTACAGACTCCCATAGTCTATATATATGATATTTTGAAAAAAATATGGAAGATTTTTTTTAAGCTGCCACTAACCAAACCGAAGTTAACGCAGTCGACTAAATAGGCAGTAACTTTCATTATGACATGAAAGAAAAAAAAACGTTGTCAGTAAAAAGTTATGACCAAATGAAAAATATTTTTTTAGTTTTTAATTTTTAGCTACATAAATTTTCTATTTACAGTCAACCATTTTTTATTTTAGGCAAGTAGCTCCTCTTTACATAAAGCTAACGGTGATGCATCTTAAGCGCCGCACGAGTTGGAGATATCACACTAATTGTGATCTAAGTGCGAAAGAAGGCAAGATTTTTTTAATCGCGCTATACACCACATGATGGATAATTTCAGAGTAACTGCTGAGATAAAAAATTCTTTTCATGTGTTGATTGAGGATAGCTCGCATGCAGAAGAGTTTTTACAAATTATTAGAGAGGGTGCGCGAACCAAATAGTTTCGGTGTGTATGTTACAAAAAGGAATTTAAATAGACAGCGGGTTAGTTTCCGTAACATCGAAGCCGATGTAATCAGACCAGATGAATTCCCGGTACTAACAGACCAAGATTTAGTATTGTTTGCACTTGGGACATACCAAAAAAACTTGCGCGTAGCTATTGTAGTGAACATAGACGGTATTGTAGACTTAGTTCTACAGCATATGCTGTAAAAAAGGATTAGAAGTTTTACCAATGTTCCAACAGGTAGACTAGTTTACTTCAGCTATTTTCATATGTAGATAGGTATTTTGCTATGGTGACTCGCGACCGACATTGAAATTATATTTGTTTACAGAAGAGGGTCATAAGAGCAATTTATGATGTAAAACCTAAGTTTCGAAATAAACATATTAACTTTGGCCTCTCAATACATTTATGAAAATGTAATTAATTTACGTACACAAAAATAAAATTAGTTTTACAAAAATGTGTTAACTATTTTGTAAATACAAGATAGTAG